GCCACCCGGTTTGCTCGCTCAAATGTACAAAATTGGACTAGGCTTGTATAAGGGAGCATTCACTGACCCAAGTTGATCATCGCCTATTCGCTGTGCTCTTGTTGCAGCACTTGAATACTTAACGCGTTAAGGCTTTTACCGCTTTCTCCATTGTCATTCCTTCTGCGTCTTAGCGTACATAAAAAAAGCCCATTCTATCCGTCCTCTATCCTTTCCGCTATTATGGCACAATCTTGGCATAAAAAAATCTAGTCAAACTTCTTCGGGCAAACTTCAAGGAGGACAGGCAGCGTCACTGAATATTGCCGCATTCAAAATATTGCACCTCGATTAACTCGTATTGGTCAAAGCCATTTTCCCGAGAGGTCTCTTCTGTTCACAATACTGCTTTATGTTCGTTGCATCCTTCTCCCGCAACGCTCTGCCCTCAATCTCGTACTATGCTGCACACTGATTGAGTAGCTAGGTATAGGGATGGACTGGAGTAGCCTATGCTATGCAAGTCTATACTTGTGTTCCATTGTGTAGCTCTGGGAGACCCCCCTACTATTATCACCACTCAAACCGATAACATTCCTAAATGAGAAATGCCCTCTAATCAGTATAAAACAGTAATGTGAACAACTTCCCATTATTCCTATATCATTTATATCCTCCTTTCACCATTATTGCACCGACAGGTAGACATCGGAGTGTCTAATGCCGACAGTGGCCAAGGAACATAACCAACACAGATTTTGCCCCAAATGTTGTGGCAGATGAAGTGTCAAATGTTGGATATGAAATGCCCGATGTGCAGTAACAAGCTTGTAGCTCCCCCACCCGTTATTCTGTAGCGGATGGTATTAATTTATAATGTAACAATTCAGTGACTCATTTCCAGTAGTTTCATGACTGGGAAAGCAGAAAGGAGAATGGAGCAAGGTGCGGAGTATAGGACAACAAAACTGAACCTACCATGCCCCCACGTGGGCAACATGTAAAACTGCAGCCAGAGATACAGCGTAATATCACATTGTACGGTCTTTGGTAATAATATGTACGAGGTAAGACCGACCAACAAGAACGTCGGCCGTGCGCAGTAGATCACCAGCTGGGCGTCTACGAACAGTGGCAATTCAACTTGTGGAATCGTCGGGAAAGGAACAGAATATTAACGCCTATGTTCTGTGGTCAGATACGATAGGTCTGCAAGCCGCTGTGCACGGCCGACCGTCCGGTTGGTCTGTCTTCCCTTTAAAACAATATGTAATTGCGAAATTATGACAAAACATTAATATTGCATTCCACACAGTTTATTTATTCTGTAACACGTCTCTATTCAATAGGAAAACTATATACAATGGCTGTCCCCCCCCCCAATCTCAAATTCTGCTGTGGTCAAGCAGCGAAAAGGTCAAATAATCATAACATTTCCCCCAAAACGTATTTCAAACCATTTTGCATGACAGACATTCCTCTAATAGTTTTAGCATTATATTTTTTATTTCTCTCACTTTAATCCCCATTACTGCCATTTTACTGCTCGGTTAGAAGGGCAAAGGATGTCCCAAACCAACCCCAGCCATTATTCGATACACTCCACCAGGTCAAGCCTATTACTACTTTGGGATGGCGCGGAGGGGAAGGGGACATCACACATGGGCAATTTAATTCTGTACATTTAAGGCAAGTAAAACCAAATAAAGGGTAAAATAATCAAACAAAAATGAGTAATGACAAATTAATCGTTCACTATTTACATCCAGGAGTTGAAACTTGCCAACCAGATCTGTGTGTGTGTGTGTGTGTGTGTGTGTGTGCGTGCGTGAATGTAACAGGCCATGAGCATAGTTGTATATGTTCAGTCATTTTGAGAGTCCATGTTCACAAGGTGTGTGGGTGCCCATCTGTGTGTGTGTTAACTCCTGGTGAGACTTTAGTCAGGACTGGGACAAAGCTGGTGTCCGGGAGTCTCTCCTCTACAGTCTGCTCCTCTCTGAGACCATTCCATGTCCAGATGTGGTCCAGAACAGCCCAGTCCTACAGGGTATGAGAGCCCACAGGCCTCAGCCACCGATACACCTAACTTCGCAGGCAGTCATCCAGCAGAGACTGCTACATGGACAGAGCAATGAGGTGGTGGTGGTGTGTCCATGAGGTATCCTCCTGGCCTGCAGAAACAAGACTATTAAGATGAGGATGATTAAACACTATAACCCTGATCATAACAGATTCATAGACTAATATTACATCCCAGACCCCCCTGGGTTTAGCATGAGGAACAGCAGGGCTGTCCAGACATCAAGATATATCTAGATGTCCAACCTCATTAAATGGACACATATCCTGAGGAACCTATTAATTACCCAATTCTCCACTGAATACCTATCATTACAATTGGTACAGCAAACCTATTAAATAGGATCTCTAGTCAAATCATTTATGTAGTTCCCCCGTGCCTCTACCTGTCCTACATGTGACTTCAGGTAGCCAGTAACCTATAAAGTCAGCAAAAGTACATCTGTAACAAAGAATATACATTTCCCCCGGTGAGCCCCTTTCTAAAAACAGATGGTCACATCATTAACTTGCCTTCTGTGGCTCTCTGGCGGTCAGTGCAGTATCGTTCTGGTACACTGAAGAATCTGGTCTTCTGTGTCAAGGTCATCCTCATTGTTGTCCTTTCTTGTGGAGAATGCCCAGGGAAAGGCAATCCTTGAGGAATAATGTCCAGTAAAAGAGTAAATACAAGGGGACGGGGCATCATATGCAGTCCACAAACATGTCCATCTCCCAACACTCTGTTCTGTTCTATGATTTGATTAATGTTCAACTAGACCCAACAAAAGCACAAGTGGAAGATGAACAAAGTTTCACCGACTGACCCCACCCTTACCAATCAGTCCATTTTCCAGTAGTTTTGGATTTCGAATGGTTCCAATTGTAAGCCTGTGTGTTATAAAAATATGTTCTCTCCATTATAGTGGTTTCTTTTCTAGAACATTCAATGAATCTCTTTAGAAGTCCATTTAACATCAGGCAGCCTCCATTCACATGGTCCCAACCTGCCAAACCCCATGAGACACGTAGCACAGCATTTTGTGAGGGGGGGGGGGGGGGGGGGGGGGGGGGCGTCAAATGATAACCATATATTACGGTTGTCACAGTAAAAAGAAACAAAAAATCCATTCTCCTTTTCCACTTGATATTTTTTCTTGTCTTTTAAAAAAATATAAATACAAAATATAATCCAGACCAGTTAAAGCGAAGATTGTTTCAGTTTGCTGATGACGTACCGATCGTTCCTCCGCCCACATCTTCAAAAACGAAATTGTCACAAGATTTAGGCAATGAGAGAAAAACAAGAGATTCTTAATAGTAGCAACCCAGACATTCAAAGATAAAAAGGAGACCAATTTCTCTTTCAAAAAAACAGCTGCTACATTTTCCATGCCAGTTCCTCGGTGTGTGTATTGTATCGAGGACGATAACAATGCTTGGTGGTGGACAGATGTCTTCATCTTATTACGATATGTTTTTCAGAGAGCATTAAGAGAAGGCAGTGTTCAGCGGTGTCCACCTCGGTTTCATTTACAGTATCTCATCTTCAGGGATTCTAATACTTTATCAGCACAACTCTACTCATTAACTCCAAAATATGTGTTTAAAGTCTGGCTTCATCTCAATGCACTGTTGTACATTTCGGTTTTTGGAATACATTCATTTCCACCCCCCACAAAAATTAAAAAAATGACCAGAGGCAAAAAAACAAAAACACAATATAAAAATACAATAGTGTAGCAGCATCAAAAGTGCTCCATATCATCAAGTCCAAATACTTTTCACTTCGTTTTTAACAGACATTCTATTCAAAAAGTAACAAAAAAGACAGGACTCTAGCTATCAATACCAGGGTTAACACACACAGTGGCAATCGCCTGCAAAACTGCCTGGAAGCAGGAAAGCAAGACCTCAACACCGACATGTCGTTAAAGGCAATAGATCCCCTTGGAAAATGCAAGGGACTTCTCTGGTCTTACCAACTCTCATAACCACAAGGAAGAGAACGATTAAACATAACTTTTTATGGTTCTTTAAACGAGAGTGAGACGAGAGAGAGGGACTGTACTGCAGTAAAATACACCTTGGAAATCTGCCTTGAATCAAGACATCTGTTTTCAGTTTGTCAGCGAATCAGAGCCCATGGACCGTCGTGACTCACCATGAAGGAGGAGAATGAGGGCAGCAACGCACCAATGACAAAACACAGACGGCCAGTCGGGTAACTGGACACCAACGCAAAATACCTTCATGAAGTCATTTAGGGGATGAGAAGCTGGTGAAAGATTGGATGAAAAGAGCCCTCTCCACTCTCGCTTAGAGAACCCATGTACAAAAGAACATACACATTCATTGGCTACCAATCACTCATGTACATTTGACATGGGCACAAATTGCATACATTCTTCAAAGTAAAAAAGTTTCATGGAACAAAGTAAAAACATGGCCTTTTTATGCATCTCTGTAAGCAATAAAATTGTGCAGGCTTTAAGTCTACCACAAACCCACCAGCATTCAAAGAAACATCCTTTTCTTCCACTACTTATCTACAAGTAGTTTTGTTTGTTTTTCTAAGTGCAAACCTTCAAGTTTTTTTCTTAATAAAATGCAAATTGTTATAGCTTTACATTTTATATAAAAACTTTTTAAAAACTTTCAAAAAAAGAATATACTTTCCAAAAGAAATCCTGATCACCCCCACATTATTATCGGAGATGTAACCTCCAGTTCCTTACTTAGGTATGCTTGCACACACACATCCACATGTGTGTATTCATATTGTAGACATAATATATGCAGAATAGATGCGCATTTTGCATCCATAAAAACAAAGAAAACAAACTGGCAAAACTTCATTTCAAATATTGAAACCCCCTGTGATAAAGTGCATTAGTTTAGTTTAAGGTGCTTAACTGTAAGAAGTGAGGGAGGGTACTCTCCGCACCCCCCCACCCCCCCTCACACAGAGATGAGGGAGAAAACACTACTTTACCAGGTCCTCATCTATGAGGGGGCAAAGTAGCTCAGCAGTGCACATTCGTCATTGTCTGTGTGCGTGTAGGTGAGTGTTTGTGTGTGTGTCAGTGTGTGTTGTAATCCAGGTAAGGCCTCAGGTGGATTCAGGTAGATGCTGTGGCTCAATAATCCTCCACTCTTTCCATCTCGCCCAGGTTCATCCTGTCCCCGGCGCCCAGGAACGAATATCCTGCAGGAGAAACACCATGGTTCATCTCTATATCCACAACTAATATTGATTCTACTACCTGTATATACAAACAATCAATGCCACAATACTCACTCAATACGTTCCCTTTACTGCGGAACTTAAAGTTGCACTATATTATCCAAACTTTTTACTTGGCTACAGAGAGAGGTGTCGGCATTTCTAATAATAGTCTTCACTGTCCTCACTGCATGTCTCTTAGTGTATTATTCATGGTAATGAGAGCTGAGAGGCACCTCCCTGTCTGGTTGAGCTCACTGTCTATGGGTCAAATGTCTCTGTGGTCTGCTTTGACAGGTGAATGTGCATCAGGGCTGAGAGACGAGCATGTGACAGACGAGATCTGTACTTGGTTTTTATTATGTTGAGATGTGAGAATCCCCTCTCCCAAGCTGCACTGCTTAAAGGCAGTGTAAGAGACAGCTTAACCACCTTGTTGATTTTGGAGTAAGCATCTGGGTTACTTGTATTTACTATTTGGACCAAGTCATACACAGAAGAGGCTCCCAAGCGTTTTCCTGCCTGCTTTAAGCGCATCCATTCTGTCACAGTGGTATCTTTGTCAAGTTGCAAGGTGGCCTCATATTTCTTGAGAATGCTGCAAACTGTTGTGTTTCCAAAACTGTGGAGGTCTTGCATTTACTGAGGCCATGTTGAAGGATCAAATAGTAAGAAATGATCACATGACTTGAGGGAGTCATATCTGATTTCAAACTCTTCAATTAACCCCCTGAGTAAGTGTGTCTTGTCTCTGTCAGCATCAGCATTGGAAACAGTGTGTGCCCTGTGGCTTTCACCATCAAGCAGAAGTGTGAACTGTCCAATGGCCACCATGAGTTCAATGGTCAGCTTTTCCTTCTGAAACCTAATGGATGTGGTCTTCAAAATGTTGCAAATGTCAAGCATGTTTGACAGAAAGCACTGAAAACGCTCTGTGCAGATATGCTGCAAGTCACTGTTATCACTCGTAACCAGTTGCATTTTAATGGCTGGCAATAGTCTTGATATTTTTAACAGTGTTCCATGCCTCCATGCAGACCATCTGATATTATGAAACTTACCCAGTTTCACAAAGGAGATCCCATTTTCTTCACATAGCTTATTCAGTGCAGCAGTTTTTTTTGCTCCACCTTTTTGTAAATAAAACTGCAGCAGCTTGACCACAGAGCGATTAAATGTCTCACAGTAAGGAACGTTGCGATCAGCTGATTTCGCGCAATTCTCCAGTGTGTGTGCGGTGCACAGAATGTGCACAAGGGAGTCTCCAACTGCAGCAAGTTGCCAGAGTTTTGGCACAACGCCGTTGTAGATTGACAGCAGCCCCGTCTGTGCACACAGCGACCAACTTTGTTGTCCAGTCATCCAAGCCTGTGTCCTGGAAAAGTCTCACAAATCCGTCTGTTATGGCCTGCGCGGTTCGGTCAGCACCCAATTCAATCAGTCCAATAAAGTCCAAAGTAAACTCTCCGTTGCTGGACACAGACACAATGTAAATGATTTCCTGCTCAGTTTTTGTGATGTCCTCAGATCCATCAAAAAGCAGCCCCCAAAATTCAGCAGACTGCAACTTGGCTCGTAACTCCCCGATGATGGTGTGAGCGATGCTCTGCATGATCCGTGTGCCCCCTTCACCTGAATGATATGCACCTCCGACATTTACTCCTAGCCGCTTCAGTAAAGGAACATCCTCAGAATAGGAAGACATGGGACGTGCGTGTTTAGCTTTATGGAAGGCGAGGAGATAAATATTAAACAGAGCTTGCCGCTGTTCTTCATTCAGCTTGTCTCGCCATCTGGCAAGTGGGCGACTGGACATTTATTCTCGGCTAGCTTAGCAATGGCTTGCGCCACATTCGTGTGCTCCTTGCTCTTTTCATGTTTGTCAAATAAAGGATGGTTGAAATTATTTGAGCCTTTATAAAATGCACCCGTTTTGTCTGCTAGATGTGGATTTGAGCGGCAAATCTTGCACCACATTTCAGTGCGCTCATTGTTAGCTTCAAGCCACTGCACATCTTGGAGCCACTTTTCCGAAAAAAGTATTTTCTTCGGCTCTGGCTCCAGTTGGCGTTTCTTTGTAGGTGGCGAAACGCCAAAGAAGCTGCATAATGTCTGTTGCTTTTTGGACATCCCTGACAGTAGTTGACAAGCAACATGTCATGTGTAAGGTTCGATGAGAAGATCGGTCAAGTACGCAAAGGCGCGTAGTAACACAAGTGGCATTACGCTTTCCTGATTTTTGTCGCGCTTGCGTACCAGTTATGTGCACCCGATTATTATTATTATTATTATTGACTGTGTGTCCACATACCTAAGATGCTAGGGTCGGAGTGAAGCATCATGGTCTGTTTCTTCTTCATCTTTGCAGCCTGGCTGTCATACATTCCTCCCTTCCCCATCTGGGCTGCCTGGAACATGGACTACATAGGGAGAGGACACCGTAATAGGGATTTGCTAATTCCAATATGTGGTCTATAGCATGAGAAGAGTATAGATGTGATTTATCAAGAAAGCAAATACATGTTGGATGACTAAATGGTCATGAACTGAGGACAGAGCCTACCTGGATAGGAAAGTTGTTAATGGACAGCCCTGCAACTTCTTTTGATAGCTGGTGAGGGAGAGGGATGTTGGTTACTGATAAGGTCTTCTACACCCACGCAGCTACATACACACACACACACACACACACTGAACAAAATATAAATGCAACAATTTCAAAGATATTACTGAGTTACAGTTCATATAAGGAAATCAGTCAATTGAAATAAATAAATGAGGCCCTAATCTATGGATTTCACATGACTGGGAATAAACATATACATTTACATTTTAGTCATTTAGCAGACGCTCTTATCCAGAGCGACTTACAGTTAGTGAGTGCATACATTTTATTTTTTATTTTTTTATACTGGAATCGAACCCACAACCCTGGCGTTGCATATGCCATGCTCTACCAACTGAGCTACATCCCTGCCGGCCATTCCCTCCCCTACCCTGGACGACGCTGGGCCAATTGTGCGCCGCCCCATGGGTCTCCCGGTCGCGGCCGGCTACGACAGAGGCTGGATTCGAACCAGGATCTCTAGTGGCACAGCTAGCACTGCGATGCAGTGCCTTAGACCACTGCGCCACTCAGGAGGACAAAAGGCCACTCCAAAATGTGCAGTTTTGTGTCACAGATACCTTTTTTTTTTTTACTGGTGTTAACACCATTTGCCTCAAGCAGCATGACATCTCCTTCGCATAGAATTGATCAGGCTGTTGATTGTGGAACGTTGTCTTACTCCTCTTCAATGGCTGTGAGAAATTGCTGGATATTGGCAGGAACTGGAACAGTGTTGTACACGTCGATCCAGAGCATCCCAAACATGCTCAATGGGTGACATGTCTGGTGAGTATACGCAGGCCATGGAAGAACTGGGACATTTTCAGCTTCCAGGAATTGTGTTCAGATCCTTGCGACATGGGGCCGTGCATCACCATGCTGAAACATGAGGTGATGACAGTGGATGAATGGCACGACAATGGGCCTCAGGATCTCGTCACGTTATCTCTGTGCATTGAAATTGCCATTGATAAAATGGAATTGTTTTTGTTGTCCATAGCTTATGCCTGCCCATACCATAACCCCACCGCCACCATGGGGCACTCTGTTCACAACGTTGACATCAGCAAACCGCTCACCCACACGACGCCATACACGTGGTCTGCCATCTGCTGAGTACAGTTGAAACCGGGATTCATCCGTGAAGAGCACACTTCTCCAGCGTGCCAGTGGCCATCGAAGGTGAGCATTTGCGCACTGAAGTTGGTTACGACACAGAACCGCAGTCAGGTCAAGACCCTGGTGAGGACGACGAGCAAGCAGATGAGCGTCCCTGAGATGGTTTCTGAAAGTTAGGCAGAAATTCATCGGTTGTGCAAACCCACAGTTTCATCAGCTGTCTGAGTGACTGGTCTCAGACGATCCCGCACGTGACGAAAACGGATGTGGGGGTCCTGGGCTGGCGTGGTTACACATGGTCTGTGGTTGTGAGGCGAGTTGGACTGCCGAAGGTGGCTTATGGTAGAGGAATGAACATTACATTCTCTGGCAACAGCTATGGTGGACATTCCTGCAGTCAGCATGCCAATTGCATGCTCCCTCAAAACTTGAGATGTCTGTGGCATTGTGTTGTGACACAAAACTGCACATTTTGGAGTGGCCTTTTGTCCCCAGCACAAGGTGCACCTGTGTAATTTGTAGTCGCTCTGGATAAGAGCGTCTGCTAAATGACGTAAATGTGCCCTTGAGCAAGGCACTTAACCCTAATTGCTCCTGTAAGTCGCTCTGGATAAGAGCGTCTGCTAAATGACTAAAATGTAAAATGTAAAATGTAATGATCAAGCTTTTTAACCAGCTTCTTGATATACCACACCTGTCAAATGGATGGCTTATCTTGGCAAATGAGAAATGCTTACTAACAGGGATGTAAACAAATGTGTACATTTGAGAGAAATAAGCTTTTTGTGCATATGGAACATTTCTGTGATGTTTTATTTCAACTCATGAAACATGGGACCAACACTTTACATGTTGCCTTTATATTTGTGTTCAGTATACATACAACACACACCTGTTGTTGTTGTTGCTGCTGCTGCTGTTGTCTCTGGTGGTTGGCTTTCTGTTTGGCACGGCGCTCCAGGAACTGCTTGGCAAACTCTTTGGCTTCCACGGTGTCGCCCAGGTAGGAGCGGATAAAGTCATGGACCTCGTAGGGAGACTCCACCTCCTTCAGGTAGGCCACGATGGTGGCCACTGCTCAGAGGACGACAACAGATATTTTCACTTAATAAAGAAAGAATAAAGAGAATAATGGTCAAGCGCTAGAGCCAGGGAGTCTGGCAACTAAGGAGGTGTTTGTGTAGGTGTGAAGGTGAGTGATGACGTTTCATATTTGAGAATATTCATTGGGCCGGACGCAGGGAGACATTTCCAGTGATGTAGGGAAGGAGGGAGAGCGTTTGTTACCGTCCAGTGAGGAGGAGGAGTTGTTAGCGGAGGTATTGAGCACATGCAGCATCTGTTCACACCAGGTGGTGAAGCCATCCTGGGGCTTCATGCCCTGCAGCAATTTCAGCAGCTTGTCCTCGTCCTCTGTACGCTTCCTCCTCAGCATGTACTGCTCACTGCAGGGGACACGGAAACAACCATTACACACATACAGAAACACAGGCCTTCAAACAGTTTACATACACACAAAATGTTAACACGCAGCTTTAAACAGAGGTTTACATGCACACAGTGTGAGCGTACGCACACACAGGGAGGTGTACCTGAGAGATGGACTGCTGCGGCTGTTCTTCATGCCCATGTTGCGGAGGCTGTTTTGGTTCTTCACAGCCTCCTCCCAGACACCCATCCCTCCAGAGCTGCCTTTGGGCTCCATGCCCCCACCAGACCACATGCCCACAGACCCCTCACCCCACTGGCCCATAGACAGGCCTCCATGCTGGGGGAGATAGAGAGAACAGAGGAACATGGGTCACACTACAGTTTTCACTGCAAAGAACACCAGAATAATTATTACTGAATGATCAGTGAATTATTGTAATGTTTGTTTGTGTGTCAAATAATCCCATAAGGGATGGGTTTGCCAACAGGCAATTTTACACAAAAATAAAATGTAATTCATTCATATGGGCATTGTAATAAATATTCTCAGAACACACATTTCTTCTCAGGAAACTCCTACAGTTACACAAAACCTTCCTGCTTTGAAATGGAATAGACATGACGGGACAGGCCGTTTGAAGATCTTGGGGTTGTGTGTCTCTCCTCACCCTGTCTCTCTGCTGCTGGGCCCTCTGGTGCTGTGCCTGCTGTTTGAGCAGCCTCTCGGTCTCCAGCTCCAGCATGCTGAGGCTCTTGCCTTGCTTGGAGAGGGCCGAGGCCTGGGGGACGCTCCACCCTGACCCGGAGCCAGAGCCACACCCTGAGCCCCCGGGCTGGGCCTGCTGCAGCAGCTTCATGATCAGCTCCTGCTGCTGCCGACACTGCTGCTTACGCCTGTACAGCTCCTCCTCCTCACGCCTCTTCTGTTCCTCCTGCTGCTGCCTCCTCTTCTCCTCCCGCCGCTTCCGCTCCTCCTCCTCTCGCTTGGCCCTGAGTTCAGCTTCACGCCGGTCCTGGAGCTGGGGTACAGCGGACAAACGGAGAGAGAGTGTCTCAGAGAGAGAGAGAGACAAGTGGGGAGATCGAGAGAAAACAAAACAAAGATATTACCTTCTGTAGCTGCTCCAGGGTTGGCCCCTGAGTGGAATGACTCATGGTTAAGTCCCATAGGTTGGCCTCACCGCCTAGAAGAATGGGCCAGAAACACGTTACTGACATACAATGTCAATGTGTACAAGGACATCTGCGTGAATTAAAATATGTATAGCTGAGGTGTATCAGTGTGGGCAGATATGAAAGAATAAAAAAAAGTTGCTTGCTTATACAGATTAGGTCAAATATTTTGGCACCCTTGCACTTTACAATGAGAGTGCGTTTGGAGCAGAATATTATATTTTCAAAACTGGTTGAATGGTTATTTTTACCCTGTAAGCATCTGCAAATGACCACAAGCAGGATAAACTACACTTGCTGTGAATCACTTGCCTCCAACAAAATTAAATATAATTTTTTATAAATTTAGTCAAGGCCCTTTTTGAAGAAAAATCCTCATTTCAGTTTAGATTTTTATTGTTGTTGTCCTGTGCAGTTGTAAATCAAATATGTGTTTACACATATTTGTTCAATTCAAACTTATTTTAGAGGAAAAAGCAAATCCTGCATGGGGGCCAATATACACTGCTCAAAAAAATAAAGGGAACACTAAAATAACACATCCTAGATCTGAATGAATGAAATAATCTTATTAAATACTTTTTTCTTTACATAGTTGAATGTGCTGACAACAAAATCACACAAAAATTATCAATGAAAATCAAATTTATCAACCCATGGAGGTCTGGATTTGGAGTCACCCTCAAAGTTAAAGTGGAAAACCACACTACAGGCTGATCCAACTTTGATGTAATGTCCTGAAAACAAGTCAAAATGAGGCTCAGTAGTGTGTGTGGCCTCCACGTGCCTGTATGACCTCCCTACAACGCCTGGGCATGCTCCTGATGAGGTGGCGGATTGTCTCCTGAGGGATCTCCTCCCAGACCTGGACTAAAGCATCCGCCAACTCCTGGACAGTCTGTGGTGCAACGTGGCGTTGGTGGATGGAGCGAGACATGATGTCCCAGATGTGCTCAATTGGATTCAGGTCTGGGGAACGGGCAGGCCAGTCCATAGCATCAATGCCTTCATCTTGCAGGAACTGCTGACACACTCCAGCCACATGAGGTCTAGCATTGTCTTGCATTAGGAGGAACCCAGGGCCAACCGCACCAGCATATGGTCTCACAAGGGGTCTGAGGATCTCATCTCGGTACCTAATGGCAGTCAGGCTACCTCTGGCGAGCACATGGAGGGCTGTGCGGCCCCCCAAATAAATGCCACCCCACACCATGACTGACCCACCGCCAAACCGGTCATGCTGGAGGATGTTGCAGGCAGCAGAATGTTCTCCACGGCGTCCCCAGACTCTGTCACGTCTGTCACATGTGCTCAGTGTGAACCTGCTTTCATCTGTGAAGAGCACAGGGCGCCAGTGGCGAATTTGCCAATCTTGGTGTTCTCTGGCAAATGCCAAACGTCCTGCACGGTGTTGGGCTGTAAGCACAACCCCCACCTGTGGACGTCGGGCCCTCATACCACCCTCATTGAGTCTGTTTCTGACCGTTTGAGCAGACACATGCACATTTGTGGCTTGCTGGAGGTCATTTTGCAGGGCTCTGGCAGTGCTCCTCCTGCTCCTCCTTGCACAAAGGCGGAGGTAGCAGTCCTGCTGCTGGGTTGTTGCCCTCCTACGGCCTCCTCCACGTCTCCTGATGTACTGGCCTGTCTCCTGGTAGCGCCTCCATGCTCTGGACACTATGCTGACAGACACAGCAAACCTTCTTGCCACAGCTCACATTGATGTGCCATCCTGGATGAGCTGCACTACTTGAGCCACTTGTGTGGGTTGTAGACTCCGTCTCATGCTACCACTAGAGTGAAAGCACCGCCAGCATTCAAAAGTGACCAAAACATCAGCCAGGAAGCATAGGAACTGAGAAGTGGTCTGTGGTCACCACCTGCAGAACCACTTCTTTATTGGGGGTGTCTTGCTAATTGCCTATAATTTCCACCTGTTGTCTATTCCATTTGCACAACAGCATGTGAAATGGATTGTCAATCAGTGTTGCTTCCTAAGTGGACAGTTTGATTTCACAGAAGTGTGATTGACTTGGAGTTACATTGTGTTGTTTAAGTGTTCCCTTTATTTTTTTGAGCAGTGTATTTGACCGCATCTGTATAAAGTGTGCTTATATAAAGGTGTACGTGAAGCAGAGAAAATGCAGCGTGTTCCTCTTCAGTACCTGACTGCTGGGAGGCAGAGGTATGCATGTCCCACATGGACCCATTATCTGGTACTGACATTGACCTGTTCATCGAGGGCATCATGCTAGAATCTCCACTCCTGCAAATAGACACACATTAGTACACTCACAAATACCATCACATACATCACGTGTGTGTGTGTGCCTACCTGTTCATGTGCTGGAACCTCATCTGTAGTTGCTGGTATAGAGCTGCAGTGGCTGCCTGCTCTAACTGTTTCTTCAGAAGCTCCTGGTCCATATTGCCCTAGAGAATAACGTGACCTACAGGGTTACCATACCGACTATACCAATGCTTCAGACAACACCCAAGCACACCAAATACACCACTATGCTAGAGATTCTCTGCTCTGATAGACACATGATGATACAGCTACAAGAGACAACACTCAGTAAAACACATTATTTTGCCTAGACCACTGAAGTACCCTGCTTTAACACTCACAGAAAATATGTTTACCACAGTCAAGTATCTCTGTGCCTTTGCGGTACTTGGATTACCCGAAAAACTAACCACACACACAGACCAGTGAACAGAAACAAACAACACTCGTTGACTCACAGAGGACCCCCGAGGTGGTGGGGGCTGTCTCACCAGCAGGGGTGGGGGGGAGGGGCCGGGGGAGAAGGGAACGCGCCCCCACATCTTGATGACGTCACCCAGGGCCTGGAAGCCCTCATCACAACCCCTCTTTACCAGCAGGGTCATGGTGAAGTAACCTGCCTGGAACCACTCACACATCTCCACCGTGGAGAAGGGACCTGGACCGGGGGGAGGGAGAGAAGGAAGACAAGATATGATTACGTATCTTTGAGGTATTATAAGCAACTAGTATTGATACATGTACACTACCGGTCAAAGGTTTTAGAACACCTATTCATTCCAGTTTTTCTTGACCTTTTTTAAAAACTATTTTCTACATTGTAGAATAATAGTGAAGACATCAAAACTATGAAATAACACATATGGAATCATGTAGTAACCAAAAGTGTTGAAGATTCTTCAAATAGCCACCCATTGCCTTGATGACAGCTTTGCACACTCTTGGCATTCTCTCAACCAGCTTCACCTGGAATGCTTTTCCAACAGTCTTGAAGGAGTTCCCACATATGCTGAGCACTTGTTGGCTGCTTTTCCTTCACTCTGCAGTCCGACTCATCCCAAACCATCTCAATTTGGTTGAGGTCGGGGGATTGTGGAAAATAGTAAAAATAAAGAAAAACCCTTGAATGAGTAGGTGTTCTAAAACTTTTGACCGGTAGTGTATATAAACGTTAAAAATCATTGTGAATGTGTGCGTACGCATGTGGATATCTGAAAAGGTATGTGTGTCTACCTTGGATCTCTGCCTGGGGGTCCTTGTAGAACCACTTCATGGCTGCCTCGTGGGAGAGTGGCAGGGCACTGTGGGCCGAGTGGGAGTGTCCAGCGGTGTGCGCTTGTGAGTGTGGGGCTGGGTGTGTGTGAGAGGTGATGGTGTGACTCTCCTGTAGTGCTTGAGTGAAACACTCCTCCTCAAGGGACGTGTCCTGCAGAGAGGCCACCATCTTTTCAGCCTCCTACAAGGGAGGCAAAGGGAGAATACAAATATGAACATTTACATAACACACATTCACCCAGTATACAAGCGGAATCGTAAGCCTGACAATAAATCCAGTATTGAACGTCAAATCTAATTGACAGGATAATGCAACCCGCCTCGTACCTGTTGCAGGTGCTTCATGCCCTCGTCCTCCTCTGCTTCTCCCCCTGTTGAGGGGAGGAGAGATCCGAAGGAGGGAGGAGGCATCAGGCTGGAGGTAGTAGTGGAGGAGGGGTCTGGGCTGAGCTGATCACCACTCCCTGGAAGTGAGCTGCCTGTGAGACCACAGAGAGAACAGGGGTAGAGAGGATGAGGCAAGTACTACTGTAATAGGGCCACTACTGATCATACAGGTGAAACATCCTCTGGAGCAGATACCAACTGATGCCCACACCACACACAGTGAAGATGCACAACATCAGTAATTCAGTATTTACCTTCAGCGGGCACGTGGTTCGTTTTGGAGGGGTGGGAGATGGGTGCCTCTGTGGCGCAAGGGGCAGGAAGAGGGTCTGAGGAGGGAGGAGTCGTCGTCTTGTACTTATCCTCTCCCTCACCTGCTGCTTCACATTCATCTAGAAGGAAATGAGTAGAGGGAGAAGGGCTCTTCTATACATGCTGATTAAAAGTTATTCTGTTAGTTGTTTTACTAAAGCCAGGGAAAGCATCAAGTCTCACCTCTGTCAGCGTAGTTGTCCTTGCCTCCCTGACCATTCTCCTCCTCTTCTTCCAGAGCTTCAAACTCCAGATCCTCTTCAGTGATGGTGTCCTTAGAGCCTTTCTGCTTGGACAAGCATGAGGGGCTCAGAATAGACGTACAAATAACATGCAAATACACACACTTTGACGAATACAGACAGATCTGACAGCCAGCCAACAGACACACACACCTTGATGCACATGAAGGCCCCAGAGGAGTCAAATGTGCCCATCTCTCCATCCTCCTCGTCGGTGCACCACTCAGGAAGGCCGTCCTTGTTCGACTCCCTGCGGGGGGCCTCGCCGTCACGGAAGTCAAACTCAAACTTCCGCCGGCCACCATGATCACGCCAGCCTGCAGAACGAGGACCCCCATCTGTGTTGTTGAGGGAGTGTCCATCAGACATGGTGAAACATGCACAAATGTATTCTGGGTATGAGTGGTTATGTGTGCATGTACCATCACGGCGGGCTCCTGCAACTCTCCAGGCTGGCTGCTCTCCTCCTCCTCCTCCTCCTCCTGCTGCTGCCTCTTCCTCCTCCTCTCGGAGGGTACGCCAGTTGTCGCTGTCGGCACGCCAGGAGTCCTTCCTGCCCAGAGGCCCCGCCTCTTCAAACCCTGGCCGCACTACTTCAGCACACCTGATTGCCTTCTCAAACCTTGGCCTCTCAGCTCTGACAGAAGGAAAGCCCATAGTTAACGGGATAGTTTAAGACCTTCAGTCTAGAACATGGAAAACTAACCTAAATATACACAATAACCATCAATATGATTGAATGATAACCATCTGGGGGTGAGGGCAGCGTAGTTTAGGAAAATGAAAGCAACATGGTTTAGGACAGTGAGCCTACCGGTCATCCCAGCTTTGGCTGCGGAGCATTTCTCGGCCACGACCGAAGCCCACCTCTCCTTCATCAGGACCTCCAGGAGCTCTTTGGTAGAATGCACCATCACCTCTCCCTCTCCCTGCACAAACACATCATACATCCATTCTAGGGCCTATTCAGCAGGTGAATACATAGCCAGCAGATTCAACCCGCTTGCTTACAGCTCCACTAGGGTCGGACAGGCTTCCTGTGTAGATTAAGAAACAGCGGAGCCGGCGTGAGATATGGTGCAGAGAACGTACCTCAATCCAGGAATGAGAAATGCGCTGTACTCCAAGTTGTCCCATTATCCCAACTGTTACACTGAAGTTTGAACGACTGCTAGTTTTTAAATAAACTGCCCTTTTCGTCCTCATGCTAGTTAGCAGCAGCCATTATGCAATGGCAAGTCGCATTGAACAACAAAAGAGCTGATTGGCTGACACTGCCATTCCAAAATGACTGCTGTGGCTTCTGCTACAGAACGAAAAGGGCAATCGTTCAATCTTGGTGTAAGAGTTGGGATTAATGGGACAATTCGGAGTACAACGCATTTCTCAACACTGACCGAGGTGTGTTTTCCCAGCCATATCTCGCACCGGCTCCGCGGAGACTTAATCTACACAGGAAGCCTGTCTGACCCTAGTGCAGCTGTAAGCAAGCGGGTCTGATCTGCTGGCTAGTGAATACATTTCTATGTGTAGAGTTGCACCGTCCTGATCACTCCAGGTGGTGACTAACTGACCTCTACCTCCTCTGATGCCTCCTCCACGGCCCCTAGCCACGCCTACAGGGGCGGCCCCGCCTCCCTTTCCCATCAGCCTCAGCACAGCCACACTGTTCACAGACATGGAGAAGTTTCTCTGCAGGACAAAAGGCAGGTGGGAGCATGACGTTAACAGAATGACATTTTGTCAACCTACACTGAAGCAGGATCTCATCAGCACATTGTGGGTAAAAGTAGCAGCTAAGAGCTAAGATTTGAGAGAGTTGACCCTGGCCAAATTCTTCTCAGTTCATCAGAGCAGTGAACCTCTGACTCACTAACAGCTCCTATATCTCCTGCAGTCTCACCTGCTCCTCTTCAGTTAGAGGCTCCAGGGCCAAAGGCTGCACAGGCTCATCCTGCAGGATAGCAGCAAACTCCTTATCCTGCATGTCCTCTGGGGGCTGAGAACACAGTTTGCTTTACTTCATACTAGGACCGGGACAATACCAGTATCGCGATACTCGTTAGTATCGTGGCAAGTAAACAAAACACGAAGCAGAGTTAACTTCAAGAAAACAGCCCTAATGTTGGAAAGAAACGTGGTCATCCAGAGTCACATTTATTTATTTTCCAAGTTAAAGCACACAATATTTCGCATACAGCAGGTTTTTAAAGAACCAAAGAGTTGTCTGCTTTGCATTTTCCTTTTTGCCATGGAAAACAATAATTGCGATACTAGTATCGTCGCAGCCCTTGCTCATATCCATTAATCATAGCCATCTGTTACGGATACAGGTATCTGTGTCTTTTTGTGTTTTTCCTCTCCTTCTGCCCTAATCACAGGTGTCCTGTATGTTCCTGATTGGTGGTCATTGGGGTGTCTGCTGATTGCTGAGGTGGACCAATCAGTGGACATTCCTCTGCATTGCACCACCTGTTTCTGGTTTTTCAATCACACATCCCATTGTTTAAAAGCCGGTCAGTTGTGTTTGTTGTTAGAAGACTATTTTCCGTATGCGAGTATGGATACTGTGGTGTCCTGTGTTTTGTGTACTCACTAATTTGCTGGTTACTCTGTTTGGTAACTTTGTGTGTTTCTGGGAAAAGGGGAAGTTAAGCAAGCTGCCCTTGGGCATACATTACCCGTAGAAAGAAAACTGTCTATAAACACTAGTTAGACCTGAGCGGACCACCCACTGTATTTTTGTATGATTAGCAGTAGTTTAGCGGTTCTTGAGGCAGGCAAGATCAGTTTAGGGGTGTTTTACACTATTGTTTCATTTCTTGGGTCCTGCTCAGCCCTTTTTCCCAAACCTTTACCGTGTGTTCACAAATAAACATTTAATGTTTGACGGTAGTTTATGGTTGTCGTGTAGTTTTTGTTCTCCCTGTTCCATGTCACGATTCTAATTTGCATGATTTATGTTACGGGTCTCTTCTCCATCCACCCTAGACATTTAAAGCCACGGGGTTCGTAACACCATCAATATTTAATATAAACACCTGTTTGGAATCTTCATTAAAGAGTGAATCACTCATTACTGTACATACGCTCACCTTGTTATCTTTGATATAAAGTGCTAGCATCTCCTCACGGCCATAGCGGTAATCAGCCAGCTTGGACTTTGGCATTGCTGGAGAAGGAGGGGGGGACGTCACACTCCCCCCTCTGGATAGTGCACGGAGCCTGGGTGAAGAAATCACCATAAGTACAATCCATGCATTAATAACACTTCAAATTCAATCATTATTACTGACATAATAGTACTGGGCCATGTGTAAGAGCATATCCATTTATTTATCTTCACCTCAAGTTTAGGTTGGATATGCATCGCCCATTATCTTCCCCTAGACAACTAAGGGCAACAAGCAGGAGCAAAATGAAAATACAGTACACAATACACCACCGATGAGGATTAGCTTTTAGTACAATTTGGAGATGTGGTGTTGTTGGCACTATAGCAAGAATTTATGTTTGCGGTGCTCTTATTGAATGATTGGAGTAGGGATAAGGAGAAGTCCAAGTTGCAAAAACATCCCGAGTGAGGCATTTTTCAAGGACAACTTGAGGCATCCCATTATTTCAGCTAGCTATATAGAAGTTGAAAACAAAATGGGGTTCTCTTTTCTTTACATTCTAAAATTGAAATTAATAAGGTAATGCACTCACTCTGAAAACAAGACAATGGGGAAGGAAAGAATGCAGTGTGTTAGCTGGTGTTGAGAAGGAGTAAATGAGGAAACAGATTGGGGCAGTAAGGGGGGAGAGAAGTGAAGGACAGGGTGAGTAAGGGGGGGACCCCTAAAATAGTGAAGATGTGCTTTAATTTACTGACATATAAGATCAATTCAATGAAAAACAAGAGTTGGTTATGGGCTAGGAAGGTAAGCAGGGAGGAAAAAGGAATGAATAAGTTAGAGAAGGAAGAGATGCGTCACCATTCTGGGCCGAAGTTAAGTGTTTCAGCAGTCATACTCCTCTCTTCAACTCGAGCTCAAGGCTTCTGTTGGCACAACAAGGGCGTCAGTCAGACCACATCATGGAGCCACATCATAATCATACAATCAAATGTCCACTTTGGGGATTTATTAAAATACTATATCTTATCCAACACAGTTCGAAGACTTGTCCCCAATAACATACATCCCCAACATCCACATCTATGACACAATGTTATCTCAATCTGTCTGGGCAACTTTACAGAGTGAGTAGAGCTCTAACCTTGGCCAGAGGATTGGACCAGTTTCGTCCAGATACGATGAGGGAGTTAAAGGCTACTTGGTTCTTCTGTGTGCAGTGGTTTAGAGTGGGCGTGCTCAGACCACACAAATCTGTTAAGTTGAGCAAATAGCTGCCAGGCTCAGGGAAAGGGGTTCGGTGAGGTGACGGAGGAGTGGCCAAATGTGACAGCAAGCTCCCCAATCAAAAATAAACAAACTAAATTTTCATAGACAAATAGCACCCGTAATTACATCAACATTGGAGTTGATCATAATGACTATGAAGCAATATTGTGAAGAACAGGAGATGCACAGGGAGAGACAAGTGTCATCTTCACGTGCATTTATTATTCCTTGCGCTTCGCACTGTCTTCCTACTCGTGCTTGATTATTTCTATGTTCCCTCCTTTCCTCCAAACACCTGGGGAAACGACAGAGACAGCAAGCGACAGTGAGAACGAGATATTCAATTCTGTGGTCACAAATGGCAAGTTCAGTGTTCAGCATCCAAATAATATTGACCAATTCTGCAGAAAGGTAGAGATTACTGTTACAACTGACAAGGGTTTTCACTTGAGTTGCATACATTTAATTGACAGTTTGTAGAGTTTGACCACTGTGCAGTATATTTCTCCTAGCTTAGATGAAGGCTAGCCAAGAATTCTCAACTCCACGATAGGGATGGGCACCGTTAGTTATGACCCGGGCCCCATAAAAAAACCATACCGTGTATGTATGTATGTATATATATATACAGTGGGGAGAACAAGTATTTGATACACTGCCGATTTTGCAGGTTTTCCTACTTACAAAGCATGTAGAGGTCTGTAATTTTTATCATAGGTACACTTCAACAGTGAGAGACGGAATCTAAAACAAAAATCCAGAAAACCACATTGTATGATTTTTAAGTAATTAATTTGCATTTTATTGCATGACATAAGTATTTGATACGTCAGAAAAGCTGAACTTAATATTTGGTACAGAAACCTTTGTTTGCAATTACAGAGATCATACGTTTCCTGTAGGTCTTGACCAGGTTTGCACACACTACAGCAGGGATTTTAGCCCACTCCTCCATACAGACCTTCTCCAGATCCTTCAGGTTTCGGGGCTGTCACTGGGCAATACGGACTTTCAGCTCCCTCCAAAGATTTTCTATTGGGTTCAGGTCTGGAGACTGGCTAGGCCATTCCAGGACCTTGAGATGCTTCTTACGGAGCCAATCCTTAGTTGCCCTGGTTGTGTGTTTCGGGTCGTTGTCATGCTGGAAGACCCAGCCACGACCCATCTTCAATGCTCTTACTGAGGGAAGGAGGTTGTTGGCCAAGATCTCGCGACACATGGCCCCATCCATCCTCCCCTCAATATGGTGCAGTCGTCCTGTCCCCTTTGTAGAAAAGCATTCCCAAAGAATGATGTTTCCACCTCCATGCTTCACGGTTGGGATGGTGTTCTTGGGGTTGTACTCATCCTTCTTCTTCCTCCAAACACGGCGAGTGGAGTTTAGACCAAAAAGCTCTATTTTTGTCTCATCAGACCACATGACCTTCTCCCATTCCTCCTCTGGATCATCCAGATGGTCATTGGCAAACTTCAGACGGGCCTGGACATGCGCTGGCTTGAGCAGGGGGACCTTGCGTGAACTGCAGGATTTTAATCCATGACGGCGTAGTGTATTACTAATGGTTTTCTTTGAGACTGTGGTCCCAGCTCGCTTCAGGTCATTGACCAGGTCCTGCCGTGTAGTTCTGGGCTGATCCCTCACCTTCCTCATGATCATTGATGCCCCACGAGGTGAGATCTTGCATGGAGCCCCAGACCAAGGGTGATTGACCGTCATCTTGAACTTCTTCCATTTTCTAATAATTGCGCCAACAGTTGTTGCCTTCTCACCAAGCTGCTTGCCTATTGTCCTGTAGCCCATCCCAGCCTTGTGCAGGTCTACAATTTTATCCCTGATGTCCTTACACAGCTCTCTGGTCTTGGCCATTGTGGAGAGGTTGGAGTCTGTTTGATTGAGTGTGTGGACAGGTGTCTTTTATACAGGTAACGAGTTCAAACAGGTGCAGTTAATACAGGTAATGAGTGGAGAACAGGAGGGCTAACAGGTCTGTGAGAGCCGGAATTCTTACTGGTTGGTAGGTGATCAAATACTTATGTCATGCAATAAAATGCAAATGAATTACTTAAAAATCATACAATGTGATTTTCTGGATTTTTGTTTTAGATTCCGTCTCTCACAGTTGAAGTGTACCTATGATAAAAATTACAGACCTCTACACGCTTTGTAAGTAGGAAAACCTTTAAAATCGGCAGTGTATGAAATACTTGTTCTCCCCACTGTGTGTGTGTATATATATATATGTCCATTCTTAAATAAAGTTGAGTTGAGAATTCTTGGCTAGCCTTCATCTAAGCTAGGAGTAATGTACTGCAGTGGTCACACTACGAACTGTATAGCCTACACAGGTTTCACGCACGTAGCTTGTTGTTGGCACTACAGTCAGAGGCTCCATGTGTAGCAATGTAAAGTGGGAGATCTCTAATCAATGCAAAATTGTATTTACATTACGGAATTAAGTCAGCTAAATGAGAAAGAGTAGTCTACAACGAGTAACCGACAGGTAGGCTGTTTAATCTGAATGGAGTTGTTGTAGATAAGGACGGGGAGTGCAGCAAAAATATCCTCAACTAGCTAACATCTGGCTATTTTAGCCAGTATTTTTTTCACAGTAAAGACAGGCACTGCCAGATGGGATGATAGACAACCTATGACATTTACAAGATTATCTAACTAGCACGAGTCAGTGGTTACCTTATCTCTCTCCCATGCACACACCACTGGCCATTCCCCACCCTGCTGCAGCGCGTAAAGTTTATCCCGAGTCGTGCAAGGCTATGCAACAAACAAGTGTCCAAGTTTAAACAAAGTTTTTAAAAAACATGTTTTCGACTAAACTAATATTGTCCTGTAACTGTGTTTTTTTCTTTGGGTGCTGCAATCTGTAGTTTTTGATAAAAATTGAATTTTACACAACCTCCGGCAAGGGAGCCGTTGTTAACGCAAAAGGATCAGCCCTGTCACTGCACGGTGCAATTTGACACAGGTCACATCAAAAAGTTATCAAAAAACGACAGATTGCAGAAACGAAATAAAATAATGTACTTCACAGGACAAACATAGTACACAGTACGCATGAAAGAATGGACATATTTCGTTAGTTAGTAAGATTGTCTCACCCAATGTTCAAGGAAGGCCTTTTTCCCTTTATTCAGATTACAACAACTCATTTGCAGTTATTTGAAAAGGAAATCATCTCCCAAATATCACTATTTCTAAAACAAGCCATAGAAAGTTGGTTGCAATTTCAATTTAATCCTCCAGAAACGACAGAACAAATAATGCAACAAATATTGTGGTTAAATTCAAATATACTAATTGACAAAAAAACTTTATTTTTTGACAGAATGTTTAAAAAATGTATAATCTTCGTAAATGATATCATCGGTAGGACTGGTGGAGTTATGTCACACATGCAGCTAACAAAAACATATGGAAATGTCTGCTCTACCCAAAATTACAACCAAATAATTGCAGCCTTACCGCAAAAATGGAAGAGGAAAGTGGAAGGGGGAGAAAGTAAGGAACTTGTCTGTCGGCCTTGCATTAAAGAACATAATTGGTTAAGGAAAACTGTGATAAATAAAAAAGTATATCAGTTTCACTTAAGGACCAAAGGATTGACAGCCGTCTCATATAGATTGCAAAATAGTTGGGAAGAGATTTTTGACGTACCGATCCCGTGGCATAGTGTTTATGAACTGACACGCAAAACGACACCGGATTCAAAAATTAGAATCTTTCAATTTAAATTATTATATAAAATTCTTGCTACCAATATAACGTTATTTATATGGGAGATACAATCTTCCCAGCTCTGCAGATTTTGCTGTGGAGCGACAGAATCATTAGATCATTTGTTTTGGTTCTGTCCATTTGTAGCTTGTTTTTAAACACAGGTCCAGGAATGGCTAAAGGATTGCAATATTTACCTGGAGCTAACCTTGCAGATAGCATTACTGGGTGATCTGAAAAGTCATAGTCAATCGATCAATTATATAATAATACTTTTAGCAAAAATGTTTATTTTTAATTCACAATCTGTAGAAGCAATGAGAATAGAAAGGTTCAGAACTTGCCTACATGCAGGAACGCCCCATATTGGGGGCCACAATCACACACTATTGAGATGAAGGCCAACTTCATTAACCCCAACCTCGGTTTGTAAACTATTCAGAGCCAACTAAAGTAGCTAGCTAACTATTTTAACTAAACACTTTCACATTGGCTAGCTGGCTAACTTTTCAAAAACAAACATGTCACAGCCAACCGGTTCTTTAGAGAGGATACACAAACGTTGCCATTTAGCTCAAATAAAAATTAGCAAAGCCAAAATGCACTCAATGCAATAGTGGTGTTTCGATTAACTTCAATTAAATTAGCCGACGAAACTACACAGTGAAGGAAGTTTATGATTAACTCCAACGCTGAGTGGAGCAGAGAGCAAGTTTTGTGGAATTCAGCTGCGACTACATCGATTTGCCTACGGTCAATACTTCAAAAAATTTAAATTATGAAACACTTACCTTGTACCCATGTTTGTCCTCTGTAGTTGCGTACCTTTCTTTGCTGAAATCCATAACTACGTCAATAAATGTTAATCAAATACAACCACCAACTGTTTGGTTACTGTTACTCCAAGATGGCAACTCTGCACAAATGCCAGTTGAATCTCAACAGTCGGTGGTTGTATTTGATTAACAGTTCATGAAAAGGTTTGGATTTCAGCAAACAAAGGCACGTAACTACAGAGGAGAAACATTGGTACAAAGTAAGCATTTCATCATCGAATAAAAAAAATAGTCTTGACCTGTACTCGGAGCTGAATTCCACAAAGCCTGGTCTCTGCTCCACTCCGTTGTTGAGAGTTCATCAGAAACTTCCTTCACCATGGAGTAATTTAGTCAGCTACAATTAGTTAACTTGGCTAATGTTAGATGACAAACCATCTTACTCTTAGCTAACTTGGCACAATGCACGAGGTAGTTAGGTATTTACACATTCGAACAAATCACTTCAGATAACGGGCGCATGTTAGTGAAAACTTGAGTTTCATTTGAAGTTGCGCAAGAGCATTTAGCTAATTGAACCAGCTTGCTAAAATGTACCACCGTATGTGTAACTAACTAGCATACCTATCTAAATAATACAGGTAAGTAGTTAATTAGAGGATTAACCATGAAAAGCAGTGAGCAGCCCTTCACCCACCCCGCCCTACTAGTCTCGCGCAGGCTACATCTCAACTTTAGCCCGCTGCTTTGGCCTGTACCTTTTGCTAACTAACGTTAGCTTGTTTGCTAACGAATGCCTAACTACCTAGCTAACATGGCTGTACAGTGCGCGAACGATGTGTTAACTATGTTGACACAATCCAGCAGGAAAGAAAATAGCACTACCGTTAGATTATTCTAATCAGTAAACAGTATAATTTATTCCATTGCAGAAGAACACGTTTGCGTAAATATTTGTTCCAAATTCGACACTCACCTTTCGTTGAAAGCTGGTCGCACTAGCTAGCCAGCTAAGTAGCCAGCTAGCCAGCTACAACCTAGCTAGCTGGTGGCTGCAAATGTTACGAAATGGAAATGTAGCTAGTTAAATCCAGTTAACATATGCGTGTATTTCGCAATGACCTGTATATCTCAAGGTTACGTCCTTGCAACTATTTGTTGAATGTTTGATTAATTAGCTCTACTTTCCTCTGACCAACGTTCGCTGCGAATATGTTCACAACTCGCTTTCTCTTCTTGTTTGTGTTTTAGAAAAATGGCCGTCCTCCTTGCATCATTTGACAGCTCTGTTTTTTTCTTCTATCAAGAAGATGGACAAACTAGTTTTTGGTGCATTACCGCCAGCTCTCGGGCTGGAGTGGGACAAACAAGTCTCTCTCTCTCTCTCTCTCTCTCTCTCTCTCTCTGTCTCTCTCTCTCTCTCACTCACTTACTCACCCACCCACTCACTCACTCACTCACTCACACACACACACTATTATGTGGGGCCTATACGCATTCCAATTCATTGGATTTGCATAGCCTAGCCTATCTATGGACAGAGATAGAGAGACTTTCAATTTCAGAGACAAGTATCCTGACAGCTTCTACTTCACCACTTCGTGAGCACTCTTCTCCATGGTTTTTTGCATCATAGAGCGAGCTCAGGCACTGGCCTGGGTGCTAGTTCTGGTGATGGTGGAGGCAGAGGTACAGGAGAACTACTCACCTGCGTGCCGTGAGTTCATGTACATGGGCACACCACCACTGGGACTTGAGGACAAAGGGCTAAAGAAGATTTGCCAGAGCTACAATGGCAAGCCACGTTTTGTCACCCTGTATGATACCTTTGACCACATCCCCGTCTACTCTGCCTACACCTTCAAGCGCTCTGACGGCGCCAAAAAGGTTGATGTGCCGTGGATGTACGAGCCACAGGTATTTTGACAGACTCCTGTATCTTACATTATCTCTGCAACATTGCCTTGTGCTTGTGCCTACAGATGAATCATTTTTAGTGTCATTGGCTACAATAACAGCTCTATGGCCTCTGTGCAAATAGAATGAATAGTGAGCAATATACTGTTGTGTTTAGAAAGAGTCCTTGAGGGTTCACTGACTGAGATTACTTTAGTACCACTGTTGTTCTTTCTCTTACTAAAGCTAAAGGTGACCGCATACATAGGTTCGGTTTGCTCCTAGCAGAACTTGGCTAGGCGAAGCAAACATCTGTGCTCTCATACTCCCTAAAGACCATTGCTGAAAAATTGAGAAAAAAAAGCGTCAGTATTACTGCGCAAACTGTTTCTACTGGGAAGCATATGGTAAACGCTTACCATAAAGCTTACCGTATGCTTCCCAGTAGAAACAGTTTGCTCCTATATTATGACAACATTTTGTGACATTTTGCTCTTCAGCAGGGTTTTCTTTGGCTGTTCGTGCACACACATTATTTTCTTGAGACAGGTCAAAGTTCGGTAGCTGAAGTCTATGCCCCTTCGTCGGTGCTCAACAGTACTACTCCTAGTAGGAGTGGGAACTATGAATGCGATTTTTCAATGAAGGGTTTGCTGTCATTCAACGGGAGACGATTCGTTTTAATGCAATTTTTTTCACTGCACCAAACATCTTAGTTAGATGTAAAATTGCACAACTAAGACCTCCTTGGCAAAAACGTCAAAATTAATTACAGATTTCTTGATTTATCTTAGATTAATTCACACTATTTTGAGGAAGTGTTACTGGCAATGTTGTTGCTATGGCGTATATAGAGGGACAAACAGTAATATTGCCTATTTCTTCTTGTTTTTCAAGCGAACGTCTTTTAAGTAAGTATGCAAGGACAGACATTTGCTTTCGCCTAGCCGAGTTCTGCTAGGAGCACTAGGAACCTAGTCTGCGGGCGCCTTAACCTTCTGCTCTCTGTCAGCTCTCCACAGTGTCTGATTTTGGGGAGATGCAGCCCTTTCCTCAAGGCGACCTCCATCGCAGTTTTGAGGATGCCCAAGCGGTGCTGGAAGACTACTCCAACGCAGTGAACTTTGAGCGTGGCCACCTGAACCCTGACGAGCATCAGTCTGACCCCAACGACAAGGCAGCCACCTACACCCTGACCAACGTGGTCCCTCAGGTCCGGGAGTTCAACATCGGCCCCTGGAAGACCCACGAGCACACCATCCGCCGCCGCCTCAACAACTACTGCCGCGGCACCGCCTACATGGTCACTGGTGTAACCACCTCCGGGAACATGATCCGCCGCCACAACATCGACCGGGTGGCTGTTCCCACCTACCTATGGTCAGCCTACTGCTGCATCGACTACGACCGCAACGCGCCCTTTGAGGAGCGTACCAAGTTCCCAGCCTATGCAGCCCACGGTCTCAATCAGAAAGAGAGGCCTGAGGTGCTGGAGATGTCTGTGCAACAGCTGGAGAACTTCCTCAAGAGTGTCACCTTTGTGGACAAGACCTTTCAGATATTCTATGATAACTGTGTGCCCCCTGATAATGGCCTGCACATGCCTTGACACTATACAAAAAATTATGTGTAGCGTAATTTGCTTAAACTATAATGTAATAAAAAATTAGGTATATCTGATGTGTTTTCTTACATGAATGCTTACGGTTTGCTTAATCCTTCTTCAATTATTTTCTCTCAGCACACATATATCACAGTAGCCTACATGATCTCTTGCTTCATATATAGAATATATAGCCTGCAAGAAACAACATATTTTACACATAAATTAAAGCAATCCAAGTAATGGTAATTGACAATCAGTTTGCCTACTTATAAACCCTTTATAAACCTGTTAATCATATGAACCAGTAAGGTTTTACATGGCAGATTTATAAAACCCATTTTCTAACTGACACATTTTTTTTTGGGATGTAAAGCTTCCTCAGCTTTTTACAATACTACTTTCTCCAATTATGTTCAATCATGTGCACAAACCCCTTGCTTCTTGATGAATAAAGACTTTCACTCCATTTTCCTTTTAGTCTCTTTTCTTCATCTAGTAAGATAAAGAAAATGCTTATTTTGCAATAATTTGAAATATGTTTGGTTCAATAGCAAAAACACACATATTGCAGATAAAGCTGTAACTATCTGATTAAGATCCCTTTATTGCACTCACTCACTCATTCATTCACTAATTCACTCATTCACTCACTCACTCACTCACTCACTCACTCACTCACTCACTCACTCACTCACTCACTCACTCTCCTTTGTCTTTGGTCAAAGTCCATATGGAAGCTCCTGTGTGCTTTATCTGTCTGTGGTATTGTGCTAATCTACCATTACCACTGCCTTGCTACTGAACCTCACCTGACACTGAAGGCCATATTTGTTCTCCACAGAGATAGATTTGAGAGCAGGTTTGACATTTTACAGTCTGTCAACCATGCCAAGACACACTTCTGTGTACATGGAAGAGAGAGGAAAGACTTAAATGACAAGACAAAAGAGGCTTTTTGGCAGAATGCTTAACACATATTACCGAGGGTGCTCAGTGAAATCGGTCCTCTCTGCACATTGCATGAGAGGGGGCTTATGATAGGTGATAGCCAATGAAAGGCCTGTCATACTCTGATTAGACATTTCAAGGAATTGAATGAAAGGGAGCATTCAAGAATAGGAGAATATATAAATAGATAGATAGATAGATAGATATATAGATAGATAGATAGATAGATAGATAGATAGATAGATAGATAGATAGATAGATAGATAGATAGATAGATAGATAGATAGATAGATAGATAGATAGATAGATAGATAGATAGATAGATAGATAGATAGATAGATAGATAGATATACTGCCTAAGAGTTTGATGTAATCCTATAGTCTATAGCAGGAGTCTCCAACCCTGTTCCTGGAGAGCTACCCTCCTGTAGGTTTTCGCTCTAACCCCAGTTGTAACTAACCTGGTTCAGCTTATCAACCAGCTAATTATTAAAATCAGGTTTGCTAGATTAGGGTGGTAGCTCACCAGGAACAGGGTTGGAGAGCCCTGCCCTATAGCCTATAGCAGGGGTATTCAACTCTTAGCCTACGAGGTCTGGAGCCTGCTGGTTTTCTGTTCTACCTGATCATTAATTGCACCCACCTGGTGTCCCCGGTCTAAATCAGTCCCTGATTAGAGGGAAACAATGAAAAAAGGCTGTGGAACTGGCTTCGAGGTCCAGAGTTGAGTCTATAGCCTCCCTAGTGAGTGTACTACCTCCTCTGCCAAGATGACATGGTCTTTATGGCCTTTATGCTTGGTCAAGTTCCTGCTCAGGCTGTTCTCCCCAAAGTTCCCCCTAAATTGCTAGATTAATGGTAGCAATGGGATAGTCTCTCAGGCTGATATTTGTTACTGTGTCCCTGGCTGCTTTGGGGTTTGTGCGCAGGCTGCTTCTAGATAGATGGTAAAGTGTGGCCTGGAGTCCTTGTATGTTTGAGTACAATTGCTATATTCTATTATTCCCCCACCAGTTACAGTAAATTCACATAAGCTCTCATAAGACTTTGCTGATTAGACAGAAGTGAACAGGCCAACACTTATTCTTGTCATTCACTCACCACCCAAATTGGTTGGATATAAGATCCCTCTATCACATTATTTTACTCACTTTGCATATCTCGTCTGTGGCATTTAAATTCTAACTGCACATCTTGTCTTTTATTTCACTCTCCTGCAGTCGTGCTGGTAAGAGCCATGCAATTCTCTCCGGGCTGTTTGGTGTTGGTGTTCGCCCTGTTCCATAGTGCACCTCAGGCTCCGGCCACTGTGGTTGAGGACCATGTAGAGCGATGCAAGGACTCCTTATACATGGGAACCCCCCCACAGGGAATCATTAATGCCAAACTGAAGAAGATCTGTCAGCGCTATGCCGACAAGCCACGCTTCGTGACCTTGTACGACCCTCAGAAACACATCCCAGTCTACTCAGCCTACCCCTTCAAGAAGACAGAGGGAGACCGGCGTGTGGACTACCCCTGGATGTATGAACCACATGTCAGTGAAACTAATTATTGCTGTTTTTGTAAGTCTACTCCTCAAATGTGATGTTATACCTGTATGTGTTTCCTATTGGAAGTTCCTTTCTTCAATTAGACCTGTTTCAGGAGCGAACAAATTACGGTAATTTCAAGTCCCTATTCTGCAGAGACATGAGTTGAGATGTTACAGCTGTTAACTGTTTGATCGAAGCCTTCGCTGAACACTGTAGCGTCTTTCCCTTTGGTTCAGTCTCATCAGTCCTCTTATCCATATACAGTGGGGGAAAAAAGTATTTAGTCAGCCACCAATTGTGCAAGTTCTCCCACTTAAAAAGATGAGAGAGGCCTGTAATTTTCATCATAGGTACACGTCAACTATGACAGACAAAATGAGATTTTTTTTCTCCAGAAAATCACATTGTAGGATTTTTAATGAATTTATTTGCAAATGATGGTGGAAAATAAGTATTTGGTCAATAACAAAAGTTTCTCAATACTTTGTCATATACCCTTTGTTGGCAATGACACAGGTCAAACGTTTTCTGTAAGTTTTCACAAGGTTTTCACACACTGTTGCTGGTATTTGGCCCATTCCTTCATGCAGATCTCCTCTAGAGCAGTGATGTTTTGGGGCTGTCGCTGGGCAACACGGACTTTCAACTCCCTCCAAAGATTTTCTATGGGGTTGAGATCTGGAGACTGGCTAGGCCACTCCAGGACCTTGAAATGCTTCTTACGAAGCCACTCCTTCGTTGCCCGGGGCGGTTGTGTTTGGGATCATTGTCATGCTGAAAGACCCAGCCACATTTCATCTTCAATGCCCTTGCTGATGGAAGGAGGTTTTCACTCAAAATCTCACGATACATGGCCCCATTCATTCTTTCCTTTACACGGATCATCCGTCCTGGTCCCTTTGCAGAAAAACCCCAAAGCATATGTTTCCACCCCCATGCTTCCCAGTAGGTCTGGTGTTCTTTGGATGCAACTTCAGTCAAATTCTTTGTCATCCTCCAACACAACGAGTTAGTTTTTACAAAAAGTTATATTTTGTTTCATCTGACCATTGACTTCTCCCATCCTCTTCTGGATCAGCCAATCACTCTAGCAACTTTCAGAGCGGGCTTGGACTGTACTGCTGAGCAGGGGGCACTCTGGCACTGCATGATTTGGTACTGGCGGCGTAGTGGTGTTACTGATGGTAGGCTTTGTTACTTTGGTCCCAGCTCTCTGCAGGTCATTCAACTAGGTCCCCCCGTGTGTTCGGGGATTTTTTGCTCCGTTCTTGTGATCATTTTGACCCCACAGGGTGAGATCTTGCGTGGAGCCCCAGATCGAGGGAGATTATCAGTGGTCTTGTATGTCTTCCATTTCCTAATAATTGCTCCCACAGTTAATTTCTTCAAACCAAGCTGCTTACCTATTGCAGATTCAGTCTTCCCAGCCTGGTGCAGGTCTACAATTTTGTTTCTGGTGTCATTTGACAGCTCTTTGGTCTTGGCCATAGTGGAGTTTGGAGTGTGACTGTTTGAGGTTGTGGACAGGTGTCTTTTATACTGATAACAAGTTCAAACAGGTGCCATTAATACAGGTGACGAGTGGAGGACAGAGGAGCCTCTTAAAGAAGAAGTTACAGGTCTGTGAGAGCCAGAAATCTTGCTTGTTTGTAGGTGACCAAGTACTTATTTTCCACCATAATTTGCAAATAAATTCATATAAAATCCTACAATGTCTGTCATAGTTGACGTGTACCTATGATGAAAATTACAGGCCTCTCTCATATTTTTAAGTGGGAGAACTTGCACAATTGGTGGCTGACTAAATACTTTTTTCCCCCACTGTAGTTATTTTGACACATTGCTTACATTTGTTCCATTTAATTGATTACTTCATCCAACATGCCATAAACAAAATTCCAATGTTGTGTATGTTTATAACTGTGTAGTATGGTGGAAGGTAGCCTAGCTGTTAAGAGCGTTGGGCCAGTAACCGAAAGGTCGCTGGTTCGAATCCCTGAGCCGACTAGGTGAAAAATCTGTCTGTGCCCTTGAGCAAGGCACTTCACCCTAATTGCTCCTGTAAGTCGCTCTGGAGAAGAGTGTTTGCTAAATTACTAAAATGTAAATGTAGTGTCTACAATCTGTGAGCAATGCACTGATCCTCCTCCCCACTTTCTCCAGCTGGCAGAGGTTGATGGGAATGGAAATATGCTACCCTTCCCTACCGGCTACTTGCACATGAAGTTTGAGGACAGCCATGCAGTGCTGGATGACTACTCTGACGTAGTCCTGTATGAGAGAGGTCACCTGAACCCAGACCAGCACCAGTCTGATCCTCACGACCGTGCCGCCACCTACACCCTGACCAACGTGGTCCCAGAGATCAGGGAGTTCAACATCGGGCCGTGTCGTAAGCACGAGGAGCGCATCCGCCTTCGCCTCAACAACTACTGCCGCGGCACCGCCTTCATCGTCACCGGGGTGACCACCACCGGTCACATGATCTGCCGGAACAACCAGGACCGGGTGGCCATCCCTGAGGACGTGTGGACTGCCTACTGCTGCACCGACTACAACCGCAACTCCCCCCATGACGTCCGCATCCACTTCCCCTCCCAGGCTGCCCTGGCCAAGAACGCCAAGGAGGGCAACACGGTCCATGAGATGTCAGTCCAGGACCTGGAGAACTTCCTGAAGACCCGGATGGACGTGGACCAGAACCTGCAGATCTTCTATGACAACTGCATCGCCCCCTCTCCCCTTCCTCTGTATCTCCACCACACCATATAAGAGCACCTCAACAGCTCCCACACACACCTACTCTGTGTGCACAAGGGTTTCCAACTATCTCCATAGCTCTACTACTATTTGCTTATTATAATGATTAAGCATGTATTTGTAACAGAACAATTATATAGTACCTGTGATGCTTTGGCAAAGCTTTCATTATCGAAGATCTGCTTTGCAAATTACTTCTGTTGAAGCGTTATTGTCCCTCCATTCTCTGTATTTGTAGCATTCTTTATTTATCTGTCCCCTTATAAAACAGCTCAGTGACATTCAGACACAGTGGTTCAGTGTGTCAGCCATTCATGGAGAGGTGTTGTCTGCTCACAGTTGGCAAAGTGCTTGTAAAATGGATACCATCAAAGGTTGTGAAGTTTTGAGCTGTAAAGAGCATCTTCTTTGAATAAAATAAATTAGTTATTTGACTTCCATGTGCCATGTTTTACTGTTTCATCCAGTCACACACAATGTTACAGTATGAAACATAATAATTTAGGGTCACAATTAGGAAAACTGTGTCATTACAATTATTGACACATCTATAGACAGGTTGGTTCTTTAGCAACAAAACCGACACGTGCGCAACTATGGTGCTAAACAGATGGGGCTGGCTTAGACTGTTGACAACATGTAAACTATATATTTGCCTCCATTTGTTTATTGAAAACATAAATACATTTGCACCATGAGCACTTGCTGTCTCTCAAATACATTGTTACAGTTGTTGGTTAGCTAGCTAGCGAATTTTATGACATGAGCCAAAACACCTCAAAACAAGACATGGTAACAATAACAAGATACAATGAGCTGAAACGAGCCACCTACAATTCCCCACATAACAGCTTCTTGCCATTGTTGTGCAAGCTATCTGACCTTTCAGAGTCATAACACCACATGGCCTATTGCCTCATCAATGATTTTTGTGACGTTGTCAGCCAACCCATCTATGCATACCAGTGGAGGCTGGTGACTTGAAAAAATGAGGATGGGAGACCCATGGTATAGGCGCGCACCGTATGGAGATGACAAAGACTAATTATTTTAACCTATAGTATTTAATAAAGACATTTACAGTGCACTCACATTTTGTTAAGTTACAACCTTATTCTAAAATGGATTAAATTGTTTTTCCCCCTCATCAATCTACACACAATAACCCATGATGACAAAGCAAAAACAGGTTTCTAGAAATTCTTGCAAATGTATTAGAAACCGGAAATACCACATTTACATAAATATTCAGACCCTTTACTCAATACTTTGTTGAAGCATCTTTGGCAGTGATTACAGCCTCGAGTCTTCTTGGGTATGACGCTACAAGTTTGGCACACCTGTATCTGTGGAGTTTCTCCCATTCTTCTCTGCAGATCCTCATAAACTCTGTCAGGTTGGATGGGGAGCGTCACTAGACAGCTATTTTCAGGTCTCTCCAGATATGTTTGATCGGGTTCAAGTCCGGGCTCTGGCTGGGCCACTTAAGGACATTCAGAGACTTGACCCGAAGCCACTCCTGCGTTGTCTTGGCTGTATTCTTAGGGTCGTTGTCCTGTTGGAAGGTCAATCTTCGCCCCAGTCTGAGGTCCTGAGCGCTCTGGAGCAGGTTTTCATCAAGGGTCTCTCTGTACTTTGCTCTGTTCATCTTTCCCTCGATCCTGACTAGTCTCCCAGTCCCTGCCGCTAAAAAAACATCCCCACAGCATGATGCTGCCACCACCATGCTTCACCGTAGGGATGGTGCCAGGTTTCCTCCAGACATAACGCTTGGCATTCAGGCCAAAGTGTTCAATCTTGGTTTCATCAGACCAGAGAAGCTTGTTTCTCATGGTCTGAGAGTCCTTTAGGTGCCTTTTGGCAAACTCCAAGCGGGCTGTCATGTGCCTTTTACCGAGGAGTGGCTTCCGTCTGGCCACTCTACCATAAAGGCCTGATTGGTGGAGTGCTGCAGAGATGGCTGTCCTTCTGGAAGGTTCTCCTATCTCCACAGAGGAACTCTGGAGCTCTGTCAGAGTGACCATCGGGTTCTTGGTCACCTCCCTGACCAAGGCCCTTCTCCCCCGATTGCTCAGTTTGGCCAGGCGGCCAGTCTCATAGCAAAGGGTCTGAATACTTATGTAAATAAGGTATTTCTTAAAATTATTTTTTTATACATTTGCAAAAAAATCTAAAAACCTGTTTTCACTTTGTCATTATGGGGTATTGTGTGTAGATTTATGAGGGAAAAAAATAATTGTATCAAATTTAGAATAAGACTGTAACGTAATAAAATGTGGAAAAAGTCAAAGGGTCTGAATACTTTCTGAATGCACTGTATAGTACAATATTATGGGGGATGGGAACGAGAGGGCTACTTACACAGTGTTGGGAAAGGATCACAGCAGTGATTGAATGAGGGTATGAGGCATGAGTTGAGGTGTTCAGAGGCTTGACTTCAGTGCATGGCAGGGGTTGAGGTGTTCATAGGCTTCAGTGCAGGACAGGCTCATCATGGATGGATGGTGTTGCAGAAGAGCTCAACTCTTCCACTGAGGGCAGGACAGGATTTGACTGGGAAGACAAAAAAAGAATAACACAATACACAAAAGAGCTAAGAATGAGTTAGTCCAAGCAAGGAGTAAAATCATTGATGTGTAAAAATGTGATTGTGTTTGTGTATGTGATTGACTGGAGTGGTCATGACCTCTTAATCAGGGAACAGGAGGGGACTTAGCTGTAAATATAAATAGCAGATACACTCCATTACAGCAGCGCCATTATAGGTTTGGGCAACAAGTTTCTCCATGAAGTTAATCACAGACATCTCAGAATTCACAAAGTCAAACACAGACTTTGCATCTCGCCCACTTGACACATCAAAGTAGCCCAAGAAACGTTCCTGAATAAAGCCCTGATCATCCACATTCAGTACCTGACGATAACTGATAACTGCAAGCAGACTGGTGGCACCATAGCTCCCAGAGTGGCCCTGGGGAGGATGAAAACCCTGTCAAACTGCAGCAAACTTATACTTGTTCATATGAATTATATTTAGACTAGACTAACAGGGGGGTTTCCTCTTCCCAGACACAGAGACAATAACTGATAGACATTAGAACTCACAGGGCTGAGCTTGCTTTATGCATGTTTGCATCATGTAGGCCTATGCAACTGTAGGCCTAATTAAAAATATATTCACAGTCTATGTCATCACTATTATGTTGATTGATGAATTCCAGTTAATAATTTTTGGATTGAAAATATTTAGGCAGCCTAGCCAGTCCAAGTTTGAATACAAACCAAATTTGATCACATTCACATGTTCTCCTGACAAACAAATGGGCTATAAGTTCATAACGTTACCAATTGGTTTACCCTGACCAGATGGACAGGGCGCGTAGGCTGTATGCAGTTGCTATTATTAGTAGCCTACAGTTGATCAGACTGAAATATCGTCTCATTTTCATCCCATACAGCATGTCAGATCTCTAATGTTTAGGTGTACCCTAGGCTGCTGCAACATCTATGTAATTAATTTTTGCTTGTGTCTGTCCGGAGTGATTATGTGTTATCAACTTTGATAAATAAATACCGGAGGTTAAGTGGAAAGGCTATTTGAGTGCGCGCGAAAAATGCGCTGTCAATCTCTCTTTTAATCTAACTTTTAATGGATGATGCGATGGAAGCGATCAAATAATTCTGAATTGATTTCGCATCCCAGAGAAGACAGTTGAAACTTCCATATGTTCAGCAAGTAAAGCATAGTAACGTGCGATTACCTCTGCAAGCTGCTTGTAGTTGCGCTTGTTAGCTGAACTCACAGGGCTGAACTTTCCCTCTCATCTTGCCTTAAAGCCAATTTATGCTTGATCCATAATGTGTTTGGAGGCTCCTGTTTGGAGCCTCTGGAGGCCTACAAATGTTGTAACAATGCTGAGGGCTCCATATAGCTCAGTATAGATCTGCATTGACATTATGGTGGCGGGAGGTCCTGTATAAACACAAACTCACTTCCTTGACAACTTTCTTCACAACAGCTCTGCTCTGCAGAGCACAAAAAGTATGTTTGCTCTGACTTCTGCAGAGGCCGCATTGCAGTAAATGCTGTACGGCCACTGCAGATATCGGATTTACCATGCAGAGCTTTAAAGTAAAAGCCAACTCTTGCCTATAAACTGCTTGTGACCCAGTTTCTTATTAAAAGCTCTGCATGGTCAATCCAATGCAGCCTCCGCAGACGTCAGGGCTTTCATACTTCTTGTGCTTAGCGGAGCAGAGCTATTGGGAAGGAAGTGAGTTTGTGTTTATACAGGACCAGTGGCGGCTCCTGAAGAAATTCTCAGGAGGGGCAATTTTTCTGATGATTTAGGTGACCTACACACATTTTTAAAAAGATATGTCCAGCAACAACATGAAGACAGGGGCAGCATATAAGTCAATACCAGAAGCATTTATTGACTGATCTCAAAAGTGTTGGCTTACAAAAGCAAAATAAGTTATCACAGTAAAAATAATCAAGGGTGTTCTTTCACATTCCTCAACACTGCATAAACAATATGTATGGCTTTGTAAAAATGAACAACCATATTCTGGCCAATTGTATAGATTTGTAAATATGAACAACCATATTCTGGCCAATTGTATAGATTTGTAAAAATGAACATGAACAGATTATTTATTTTTTTGAATGGCAGTACCTTTCAAACATGTCTGCTTGCAGTAAGGTAGCACTCACAAGGTGGCCAGAGAAAGAGAACATTTCTTTGGTGTGATCCAGGATGGTGTTGCAGACCTCTTCAGACAGCCTCTGCTTCTCCTCTTCTCTCAAAGCTGTTCTGGGTCTTTTGGCTCCTGTTGCTTCTTGCAGCTGCTGTTGAGAGGAGTCCCTGAAGGCAAACAGACCAATGTGTTTGTTGGCTTTGTACAGTATTGTTGTCTATGTGATGCACAGGTATATGCAATGTATCCATGTATAGTACAAATACTTCAGTTCCACTTAAAATGGGCAGGGATGCATAAAGTCTTTAGTGTTTAAGTTAGCCTTTGTGTCTCACATAGCCTGGATGTTCAGCACAGTATACAGTGGTGCTCATAAGCTTATGATCCCATGCTAAAGTTGACTAAAAAGAGGAATAAAAAAGAAAAGAAAATTGGTGTCCTTAAAGGTTGGATTTTCCAACTTTTTTAATTAAGTCATTAAGATCAATTTCCAAAAGATGATTTTTTTATTTTTTTATTCCTCTTTTTAGTCAGCTTTAGAATGTGTTCATACACTTATGAGCACCACTGTACAGTACACATAGTATATAAAATAAGATAGATTGCACCACTGGCCATATATAATGACAATAATGTAATTTCAAACACAAATGCAGTCTCCTTTCATGCATACATTTTCAAATAAAGCTCTGCTTTGAGAAAGATCGAATGATATTGTTTAATCTTTATCTTACCTTATGGCCTGCACACTGCTTGCGAAGCTGTCGAGGGCACGTTTGATAAAGACAGCATCGATGTCCTTATTCTGTAGCTTCTGGTACGGTGGGCTGGTCAAATGAACCCAATGAACCCGTCCGGATGGCTTCAAAACATTCTATGAGGTCGTCTCGATTCTCGTAGACAGTGTTCACGACTCTGCTGTTGCTAACCTCATCGTTGTGGCGGCGGACAGCTAGCCTGTATCCCTCATCCAGTTGAGTGGCAATATTCACTCTCACCAAAGCAGACAATCTCAAACAGCTATCAATGTGGGTCTTTGACAGCTCATTTTTCTTAATCTTTTCTGAAAGATGGTGCATGTCGGTTACACCAGTCGCTGTCCAAGCGTTGCTGTCTGCCGTTCATGGTTACGTTACGTTACGTATGACGAAAGCGCGTAAGTGCAAGCCCTCAGACACCCATAGAGAATGTATTGAAAGCTCAGAAATTTGAAAAAAAAATATTTTACATTAGAGGCTATGAGAGACTTCTGGGCGATTTTCAACCTGACTGAAATCGCCCCAAAACGGGCGGGGACATTTGAAGCACGACTTTAGCCTGATTGGACATTTAGTGGCTGGCAGATCAGACGTGAACACTGAACTACTGTTGCCATGATATAATTGATTAGAAAAAAAATCCCTTCCTTTTCCCGTTTGGCAGTGCGTCGCCCATATCGCCCTATTGAACACACCGCCCATGTACAGGACTTACTGCCCCCACTTAACGTCAACAAATCAAGTCAATGCAGAGCTACATGGAGCCCTCCGCATTGTTACAAAATTTGAGAGGCACACAGCGATGCGGTACAGAGCTTGAATTGGCCTCTGCATGCCTCCGGAAGCTCTGCAATTGCGTCACACCCTCCATACGAAACCTCCGACGACAATGCGGATCAAGCATAAATTGGCTTTTATCTTCTCGCTGTGTTGCACAGTTTGAATACACAGACCTTCGTCCATTATATGATCGATGCGGCTTTTTCCAAGAAGCTTGAATCTGATGTGGGCAATGAAAAGGGGTTCTTCAACAGAAAATCCACTACATTGTTGTTAGCATTAGCTAGCCATTCTGTAGGAGAAAACTGCACTATGGTAGCAAGCTAGCGTTAGCACTTGCTACTAAAGTTAGCAAGGCAAATTGAAATAACTGGGACTAACTACATTTCACTAAAATAATGTTCTAAAACCAAGAAAACAAAATATAATTTACCTCCTTCATCTCCTGTAGTTTGAAGAAACTAATTTGAATGGAATAATATCCACAAAAAGCTCAACTATCACTCTTCACTCTCAATCTCTATCCTATATGGCACCAACTCACCAAGCTTCTCAACACATAGAACCCCCATAATGCTCTGTGGCACAACCCCAATACACCACACTAGGTTCGCTCTCTGATCCTAATCCTATGATTGGATGGACAACATGTCAGTTCACATTGCAAAAGCTTTGATTGGTTGGAGGACGTCCTCCGGAAGTGGTCATAATTACCATGTACGTCTATGGAAGGGGGTAAGGCCTACGAGCCTCCTAGGTTCTGTATTGAAGTCAATAGCTGTCCTCCGGCTACACCATGGTGCTAGCCTAGAGTGTGTTGTTAAGACTACTGTAAACCTTCATTGCAAAACAGTGTGTTTTAATCAGGTATTTGGTGACGTGAACATATTTAGTATAGTTTTATCTAAAAAGGATAACTTTTTTAATGTTTAATTATTTAAACAAATTCTGAAATTCACTGAGTAGGATGGTCCTCCCCTCCCTCTGTCACGACTTCCTCCAAAGCTGCCTCCTCTCCTTGTTCGGGCAGGCTTCGGCGTTCGTCGTCACCGGCCTTCTAGCCACTGCCGCTCCTCATCTCATAATTCCATTTGTTTTGTCTTGTTTATTACACACACCTACTTCATATCCCCTCATCAGTACCTGTATAAGTGTTCCCTCTGCCCCCTTGTCTTTGTGTGTGATTGTTTATTGTGGAGGTTAGTTTAGTTCGGTGGAGCTCCTTGTATTTTGTTTCGCCGGGATATTTCACCCGTGTGCCATTTTGTTTCCCAGTGCGCCTGATTTACGCACTGGAGTGTTTGACGCATTGCTGCATATCGCTGTGTTTTCGGAATAAACCCTTTTATTCTGTGATTTACCCTCCTGCGCCTGACTCCTTCAAAATCCCTCACCACAGGAGCCTCTACTGATGCATACATGTTTTGATTTACAGTCCTACTTCTATCACAGTAGCTTTGATCATGGTTATTATTGGGTTATTAATTATAACCTGTTCAGGTTATTGATAGTTAGCAGTAGAGTACAGGTACTTTATGTAGAGATATATAATTTGCTGTTTGAACAGGTTGTATGGTTACCCTTTACTCTATGAACTAATTCAAAACCACAGTTTCCTCAGAGAAGGTCCTGCACACTTTTAGGACAGCTGTTTGTCCTGACCATGTGACCTAACCAGGAGAAACTCCTGGCCCTAATTTATGCCCATAATTAATTTCCCTCTCAGATGACTTTGACTGACATAAAGTCATCCCCCCCAAATGTCACCATAACTCAGAACACGTTGAGCTGTGTGGCCATTAAACAAAATGATTGACATGTGTATGGGCAGATTTGAATGAATGGGGTGTGAGTGTGTGTTGTATATCAATTGCTGCATAAACCTTCTGGTAAACTACAGCCAATCATATCTGAGGATGAGGAAGGCCTCCTTATTAGGCTGCCTGCTGTTCTTAGTGCATTTCAACATCTGACTCATGTGATGTGGGAATGACAAGTCCTGGCCAATCCTATAACACTGCTTTGCATAGAGGGGAGTCATTAATAAGTTTAGTGAAGGAAATTCTGTAATGCTGACAGACTGCTGAATGGTGATGACACAGAATAAGTGACAGACAAGTGTGAAGGTACCAGAGCAGTATTAAATAAGGAGCTATTTCTATAGAGTTACCATGGGGTCTATATGGTGGCAGCCTTGGGGTGCTGCTGTGTGCATTTTCCTCTGGGTGCAATGGGCCTGGTGTTGTGGAGGACTTTAACCGTGTGGAGCGCTGCAAGGAGTCTCTACATGGTCAGCCCACCACAGGGCTACCTGGGGGGCAGCAACCTGAAGAGGATCTGCCAGGCCCTCTGTGACCCCCGCAGACACATGCCCCTCTACTCTTCCTACACCTTCTAACGGTCTAACGGGGAGAAAAGCATGGATCAGCCCTGGATGTACGAGCCAGAGGTGAGTTAAGGTCTGGGGACAGAGGGAAGGAGAGGGAAGCTGATCATTGTAAGAGCTGTTTCCCCCCCCCCCCCCCCCCCCCCCCCAGTGTGACAATTCACATTTCTATAACTTAAATTGTGTTCTTATGTGAAGAACACTATTCTGGTCCCTTAGATATGGACTTGCGCGATATACAAACTAAAGCTCACCGTCTTGATCAGAGAATGTGTGAGCCTTTGTTTCGCCCACATGTTCCATAACTCACTATCTTCCTTTAGTCCTAGCATTAATCACCGCAATAAATATAGAGCTCTTTAATTTCACCTAATTACAACAGTAGGTTATAATTTAAAAGATAGTTAGTAGACCGGTAGACAGTCGGGCACTGCTTTCCCGCAGTTCTGTTAACGGCGGCAAGGGTAGGTGTTCGGCTACAGATTCTAAGTCGCTCGGGTAAGCAGGTGCATGGGGTTTCTCTGCTAGTGATTCCAAACAGATGGGAATGAAATCAAGAAGCCCTTTTGTTAAAGAAACAGAAAATGTCACACAGTATACAGTCTGATAAATAAAATCTTTTACTTAAAAAAAGAAAAAGATTATTGAAACACTGAGTTTTCATCATTCCTGAAATGTTAAATCTGTGCACCCTGTACAAAACAATCTGTATCAATAGGCACCTACCCTCGCCGATAATCAAACTGATGACCTCTCTCTCTCTCGCTCTGTCTCCCTTCCTCACTCTCTCTCTCTCTCTCTCTCTCTCTCTCTCTCTCTCTCTCTCTCTCTCTCTCTCTCTCTCTCTCTCTCTCTCTCTCTCTCTCTCTCTCTCTCTCTCTCTCAATTCAAGTCAATGTAAGGGCTTTATTGGCATGGGAAACATATGTTTACATTGCCAAAGCAAGTGAAATAGATAATAAACCAAAGTGAAATAAACAATAAAAAATTACACTCACAAAAGTACCAAAAGAATAAAGACATTTGAAGTGTCATATTATGTCTATATACAGAGATGTAATGATGTGCAAATAGTTAAAGTACAAAAGGGAGGAAAAAAAACAACAACATAAATATAGGTTGTATTTACAATGGTGTTTGTTCTTCACTGGTTGCCCTTTTCTTGTGGCAACAGGTCACAAATCTTGCTGCTGTGATTGCACACTGTGGTATTTCACCCAATAGAGTTTATCAAAATTGGATTTGTTTTTGAATTCTTTGTGGGTCTGTGTAATCTGAGGGAAATATGTGTCTCTAATATGGTCATACATTTGGCAGGAGGTTAGGAAGTGCAGCTCAGTTTCCACCTCATTTTGTGGGCAGTGTGCACATAGCCTGTCTTCTCTTGAGAGCCAGGTCTGTCTTCGGCGGCCTTTCTCAACAGCAAGGCTATGCTCACTGAGTCTGTACATAATCAAAGCTTTCCTTAATTTTGGGTCAGTCACAGTGGTCAGGTATTCTGCCACTGTGTACTCTCTGTTTAGGGCCAAATAGCATTCTAGTTTGCTCTGTTTTTTTTTTTATTCTTTCCAATGTGTCAAGTAATTATCTTTTAGTTTTCTCATTATTTGGTTGGGTCTAATTGTGTTGCTGTCCTGGGGCTCTGTGGGGTCTGTTTGTGTTTGTGAACAGAGCCCCAGGACCAGCTTGCTTAGGGGGCTCTTCTCCAGGTTAATTTCTCTGTAGGTGATGGCTTTGCTATGGAAGTTTTGGGAATCTCTTCCTTTTAGGTGGTTGTACAATTGAACAGCTCTATTCTGGATTTTGATAATTAGCGGGTATCGGCCTAATTCTGCACTGCATGCATTATTTGGTGTTTTACGTTGTACACAGATTATATTTTTGCAGAATTCTGCATGCAGAGTCTCAATTTGGTGTTTGTCCCATTTTGTGAATTATTGGTTGGTGAGCAGTACCCAGACCTCACAACCATAAAAGGCAATGGGTACTATAACTGATTCAAGTATTTTTACCCAGATCCTAATTGGTATGTCGAATTATATGTTCCTTTTGATGGCATATAAGGACTTTCTTGCCTTCAATCAATCAATAAAATTGTAATTATGAAGCCCTTTTTACATCAACAGATGTCACAAAGTGCTATACAGAAACCCAGCATAAAACCCCAAACAGCAAACAATAAAGATGTAGAAGCACGGTGGCTAGGAAAAACTCCCTAGAAAGGAAGAAACCTAGGAAGAAACCTAGAGAGGAACCAGGCTCTGAGGGGTGGCCAGGTAGTCCTGAGGCATGGTCCTAGGGCTCAGGTCCTCCGGATGGGAGGGAGAGAGGGAGAGAGGGAGAGAGGGAGAGAGAGAGTCTCTCAGATCGTTCACAGCTTTGTGGAAGTTACCTGTGGCGCTGATGTTTAGGCCGAGGTATGTATAGTTTTTTGTGTGCTCTAGGGCAATGGTGTATAGATGGAATTTGTATTTGTGGTCCTGGCAACTGGACCTTTTTTGGAACACCATTATTTTTGTCTTACTGAGATTTACCGTCAGGGCCCAGGTCTGTCTTACTGAGATTTACAGTCAGGGCCCAGGTCTGACAGAATCTGTGCAGAAGATCTACAGTGGGGAGAACAAGTATTTGATACACTGCCGATTTTGCAGGTTTTCCTACTTACAAAGCATGTAGAGGTCTGTAATTTTGATCATAGGTACACTTCAACTGTGAGAGACTGAATCTAAAACAAAAATCCAGAAAATCACATTGTATTATTTTATAGTAATTAATTTGCATTTTATTGCATGACATAAGTATTTGATCACCTACCAACCAGTAAGAATTCCGGCTCTCACAGACGTGTTAGTTTTTCTTTAAGAAGCCCTCCTGTTCTCCACTCATTACCTGTCTTAACTGCACCTGTTTGAACTCGTTACCTGTGTAAAAGACACCTGTCCACACACTCAATCAAACAGACTCCAACCTCTCCACAATGGCCAAGACCAGAGAGCTGTGTAAGGACATCAGGGATAAAATTGTAGACCTGCACGAGGCTGGGATGGGCTACGGGACAATAGGCAAGCAGCTTGGTGAGAAGGCAACAACTGTTGGCGCTATTATTAGAAAATGGAAGAAGTTCAAGATGACGGTCAATCACCCTCGGTCTGGGGCTCCATGCAAGATCTCACCTCGTGGGGCATCAGTGATCATGAGGAAGGTGAGGGATCAGCCCAGAACTACACGGCAGGACCTGGTCAATGACCTGAAGAGAGCTGGGAGCACAGTCTCAAAGAAAACCATTAGTAACACACTACGCCGTCATGGATTAAAATCCTGCAGCGCACGCAAGGTCCCCCTGCTCAAGCCAGCGCATGTCCAGGCCCGTCTGAAGTTTGCCAATGACCATCTGGATGATCCAGAGGAGGAATGGGAGAAGGTCATGTGGTCTGATGAGACAAAAATAGAGCTTTTTGGTCTAAACTCCACTCGCCGTGTTTGGAGGAAGAAGAAGGATGAGTAAAACCCCAAGAACACCATCCCAACCGTGAAGCATGGAGGTGGAAACATCATTCTTTGGGGATGCTTTTCTGCAAAGGAGACAGGACGACTGCACCGTATTGAGGGGAGGATGGATGGGGCCATGTATCGCGAGATCTTGGCCAACAACCTCCTTCCCTCAGTAAGAGCATTGAAGATGGGTCGTGGCTGGGTCTTCCAGCATGACATCGACCCGAAACACACAGCTAGGGCAACTAAGGAGTGGCTCCGTAAGAAGCATCTCAAGGTCCTGGAGTGGCCTAGCCAGTCTCCAGACCTGAACCCAATATAAAATATTTGGAGGGAGCTGAAAGTCCTTATTGCCCAGCGACAGCCCCGAAACCTGAAGGATCTGGAGAAGGTCTGTATGGAGGAGTGGGCCAAAATCCCTGCTGCAGTGTGTGCAAACCTGGTCAAGACCTACAGGAAACGTATGATCTCTGTAATTGTAAACAAAGGTTTCTGTACCAAATATTAAGTTCTGCTTTTCTGATGTATCAAATACTTATGTCATGCAATAAAATGCAAATTAATTACTTAAAAATCATACAACGTCTCTCACAGTTGAAGTGTACCTATGATAAAAATGACAGACCTCTACATGCTTCGTAAGTAGGAAAACCTGCAAAATCGGCAGTGTATCAAATACTTGTTCTCCCCACTGTAGGTGCTGCTGTACCTAGACCCTCCTTGGTTGGGGACAGAAGCACCAGATCATCAGCAAACAGTAAACATTTGACTTCAGATTCTAGTAGGGTGATGCAGACTGTTCTAGTGCCCTCGCCAATTCGTTGATATATATGTTGAAGAGGGTGGGGCTTAAGATGCATTCCTGTCTCACCCCCCGGCCCTGTGGAAAGAAATGTGTGTGCTTTTTGCCAATTTTAACTGCACACCTGTTGTTTGTGTACATGGATTGTATACTGTAATGTCGTATGTTTCCCCCCCAACACCACTTTCCATCAATTTGTATAGCAAATTGATTCTAAGATTTTTTTAAATCAACAAAGCATGAGAAGACTTTGCCTTTGTTTTGGTTTGTTTGCTTGTCAATTAGGGTGTGCACGGTGAATAAATGGTATGTCGTACGGTTATTAGGTAAAAAGCCAATTTGACATTTGCTCACTACATTATTTTAGCTGAGGAAATGTACAAGTCTGCTGTTAATGATAATGCAGAGGATTTTCCCAAGGTTGCTGTTGACCCATATCCCACGGTAGTTATTGGGGTCAAATTTGTCTCCAATTTTGTGGATTGGGGTGATCAGTCCTTGGCTCCAAATATTGGGGAGTATGCCAGAGCTGAGGATGATGTTAAAGAGTTTAAGTTTAGTTAATTGGAATTTGTGATCTGTATATTTTATCATTTCATTTAGAATACCATCAACCCCACAGGCCTTTTTGGGTTGGAGGGTTTATATTTTGTCCTGTAGTTCATTCAATGAAATTGGAGAATCCAATGGGTTCTGGTAGTCTTTAATAGTTGATTCT